TAGGTGGATCATCACTTGCTGAGCCAGACCCAGAGCTTGGGCCTTTACCAGATTTCCTGGGGCTGGAGCTTGACAGCCCCACAATGCTGCTGCGTCCTCTGCAATGTTTTTGGTGCACAATGAGACGGTCAGGAAGGAAGGTTCGGCCACAGTTTCCACAGGGCAGGAGCTGGGCTTGAGCACTATCATAAGCTGCCTCATTTTCAGCTGTAAGCATACAGGAACTACCAGTAAGGACTTCAGGTTTCCTGGGCTCTGCTCTTCTGACATGCTTTGGTAGTTGATTGTTTTCAATATGCCACTTCTTTAGGCACTGGGGTTCATGTATAGAAATAGACTGTGACCCAAATTCTCTGCCACAGATATAGCATACCCGGAAGCAAGGTCTTCTTGGTGGGATGATGGGCCGATTCAGTGGTGTCTGAGACATGTTTGAAGAACCTGACTGTTTTGATATTATCGCAGTGCCTGGTCGCCTTTTCCAGGGTGCAGCTTCTAGATGTACTACTTTGGGAAAAATTCTGGAAAGATCTGACACATTAGATGTTGAAACCTGCTCCAAAGGCAAGATGCTAGAGACATGAGCTCTGGCACTTGGCAGAGTGTTACAGGTTTTGTTCACATTTGTTTCCATGAAGGAGATAATGTTTCGAGAAACTTCTCTCTCTCCTACACATGAAGGGCTTGGTAAAGTCTGTTACTCAGCATGATACTCCATTTTCTTAATTCAGTTTCATGGGCCAGAATATAATCTCAATGGTTTTGTTTTGCCTTTTGGTTTTACATGATCTTGAAACAAATTGAATCAGTACATATTAATTAACATCACCTCTCCTGTTAAGGTTAGCAACCAGTGGTTTATCACAAGGATCAGTTTACTTTACTACTCTATTTTTAAATATCAGACAAATAACATCAAATATATCCTACCCCTAGTGATCAGCTCAAGAATGTAAATCTGGAATTCTAGTCTCAGAGGGTGTAAATTCATGAAGGACATGAAACTGAAGCTGCCGAAATGTATGTAGCTTTGCCACATTTTGCCAATTCAATAGGCTTTGTTTTCAGTTACTGACAGAACTGGTATTTCTGACACAGTCTTTAATTTCGAAGCCATTTATGTTGATAGTTAAAGGTAATTTCCCTCTCTCAAGAGAAATGAAAATAAATCCCTTAGTACAGGGATGTTAATGTTCAATCTCAAAAGGAACAGCCAGCAAGGAAGATCTTTCCAGTCTGTAGGTTGAAGGGAATTATTAGGCACCTTTACTCAGCACTTGTGAGTTGTTATCTCAAATTCTCTAACTAGTCTTGATTCTCCTGGTACAGGAGCGATATTAATAAAATGGAGGAAGTTTATCAATAAGGGCTACTGACATGTTTTGGGGGATGAAGCACATGCCATATGAGAAGAAGCTAAGGGTGCTGTGTTTGTTTAGCCTCAAGAAGACAGTACTGAATATATTTCAGTTTTTCAATTTGCAGTCTGTCCCTGTATGTACAGACAACTTTGTGTTTCATCACTTAAATGTTCATTTCTCACAGAGACAATCTTTTGTGCTGGTCCTCCAAGGATCAGAAAATAAAATTAAGACTGCAGGCATGTTACAATAGAGGCCATTGTTTTATTGCAAGAATACAAACTAACTAGTAGGCTAGCTTTAGTCATAAGCAAGCAAGAGGTTGCATAGACAGGCAACTGCCAAGGACAGCAAGGTTCTGCTTTATCTATAAGAGAAGAATCAGCTGATTATTGCTTATTTTGCCACCTAGGATAGAGTCAAGGTGTAATGGCCACTGCTCTGGGGTTGGCAGCTCTCCTTTGAGCTTAAGAATCATCTTGCCTTTACCAAATATTCCAAATTTGATCTCAACCCTTCCAAACTTTTAGGGGGTTCCTAACTCCCAAACTTACCTACCCAGAGATCCCAACTGACCCATCTCAGGTCACTTTCTCCGCTGCCACCAACCAACCTGGATCTTCTCTGATCTGCTCTGAACTGCTCTTTTGTCATGTCACCATGAGAGACTTTTCTCCCACTCAACAGCTTTTTCACCCTTATCACTCTCACCTCGGAACCCAGGGGCTGAATTTTACTATGCCCAAGGGCAAGGGCACAGTTTTGACATTACCCTTGAGATGACCAACTTAAACTTTGCCTGTTCCACTGAGAAGCACTGAGCTGATTCCAGTCTCTCATAAATATTCTAGGGGATACCTTAAGGACATTGGCAACAGGGAAAAAACAAGTTGTCACCAGGTTCACATGATTAGCCATTCTCTTGCCAGGCACACAAAGATGTTTAGATTGCTGCATTAAATCTACGCAATCTATACAATCATCACCATTTGCTTAGATATTCACAAAGCTGCATATTCCAGGGACACTTGTGACACTTTCTCATTTTACAAAATCTCCTGTAAAGATTATGATTTGTTTGTATGCAAATTGGAAGATATGAAGACCCTCAGAGTCAATCCGTGATATGTATTGGAACAAATCTCTGTGAACAAGTATGTTGTAGTTAGTTGTTAGAAATAAAATTCTTGAGGGACATTATACTTAGCACACAAAGTTAACACCTCCTCTAAAACTCTATTAGATAACTGCAGTCTGTGGAAAAATACAGTAAAGTACAAGGCTGTAGCATCCTCTCATGTCTGAAGCTGTCAGATAAGCATATAATGTATGTTAAAGGATACACAAAACTGTAGCACTCGAATTTTTGTTTCAGATATCAAAAAAACTTTCTTTTGTCTGACTCTTACACAATGTGTAATTGTGAAATATCCAGTGGAAAAGCATACCACAAATTAACAAAGAAACAAAGGTTACAAGCCGTTTAGGCAGTAGCAATTAATAATACTCGAGCAGCTAGCTGGCTTCAAACTGGTGCTATCACATTTTAAAGAAATGGGTTTTGCTCTCACCAGCAATGTTCCCTTAATGCAAAAAACTTTGCTAGTTGTGTAGAAAGAATTATGAAATTACAAATCCCAAAGCCTTTCCCTTGTTTTTCTTTCAGAAGGCCTACATTTTCTGATCTTAACTTTACAGAAGGCTGATCACTTTGTACCACAACTTGCTACTAGCAGGATTTTGCTAGTTTTGACCAGGTCGTATATGTGGTACAGTTAGGTGAATGGTTCAACAGTACGTGAAATTGAAATCTGCAGACTAGCATTAAGGTTACTCTACTGCAAGGCCCTTTCAAAGACTGGGAGGGTTTCTAAGGAGGGTGGCCTGTTGGATGAATTCAGGTTGGGAAGTAGCCAAGCTCTTTAGGAGGATGAAGGGAATTGAGAGCCAGGGAAACATTAAAGGGTCATGAAAGCAGGGGAGATAAGGGTTATTGGAGGGTCACAGGAAGGGAGCATCTGAAAGTTCAGCTACATTTCAGGGAACTTCTGAACTTTGCAAGGTCCCATTTATATCCTACTTATTGATTTATGTCACAATGATACTTTCTGCTACCTGAGAGGATTCTTAAAGCAACAGTGGACATTGAACTGGATGCCACATGAAGTATGTTAGGTGATTAAATCTGTTACCATTAAGAATGAATCAGTCAATAAAAGACGCTGTAAACAACCTATTAACAATATAACCTATTGTTGGATTTCCAAGCTTGCTATTGTAAATACTTCATGAGAGAATTATGCTTCCTTGTGGGGATTACACCATTTGGTCTACGTTTATTCCTGCCAAGCTGACCATTATTATTTGGAAACTTCCTATAAATTCAGTGTGAAGTGAAAAGGCATATGAGCTGTTCAAATCTTCATTTCTCAAGCTCAGTGGTAAAGATGTGGAAGTAAATCAGGACTGGGATTTAGCATTTCTTTTCAAAACATAAAGCTTTCTTTTTTCTTTTAAATAAAGTGGGAAGTTATAGTTGACTGTTGCATGTAGCTGTGGGAAAACATTCCTCTCCTCTGCAGTTCCACTGAGTACAATAATTAAAAAGCAATCTCATGAACTGCAGTGACAGGGCACTTGCAACTAATGGATGAGTTCAATTTAATTAAAAGCAAGTGAAATACTATGGCTAGTTCAGCATCAGGCTGAGAGCTTCACTTTATCTAAAATAGAACAGAATGACAGGAGTGCAAATAGCTCAGTACATCTCTTATCTTCTTGTCCTGAAGAGGAAACTGGAACCCTGGCATATTGTTTTTAAGCTTATCCTAACCAGAAATTGCAACAATAGCATTATCATCCATGCTTCAGTAATGCTGTCTTCTCTTAGCTGCCATGTGTGATTCAATCTATACAGGCAAGTGGAAACTTCTTCCCTGAAATAGCCTTCTTTATGTCTACTTTCATGTCAGTGTTGGAACTTGGAAGCAAAGTTGACACATACGTTTCCTATTTCCTGCATGCAGCCCATTTCTGAAGAGTGACCCTCTCTGTTTTTCATCTCTCTTGATTCTTTCATGTAAACAATTCCTCAAAACCCATTATAAGGTCATTTTATAAGCCTGGATTCCTTAACTGAATTGAACAAAACATACTTGCACTAGCTGGGGGATTAAACTGGCTGTTCCAATGAATCCTCAACACTACTGCTTTTGACTTAGCTAGAATTCCACATGGAGACCTCCCAGCTGAAAAAAACAGAGTTTACCTTGTGGAAGAACACATTGCATGAAGCCTCCTGCTGCCAGGACACAACCGTGCTTATTCAATGGTCAAAATACAGGAACAGTTGTGACAATCAGGGGAATCAGTTTATGTACAGTTTATGAATGCTGACCGATATCACAGCCTCTCCATGTGCAGCTGTATCAGACTGTAGACTCCATTTATGGATTGCTTACTGTCACTGTTCCCATCTGCCAGCACAGGAAGGGACAAGATAAAACCTTGCACCAGATAAACACAGAGCTAAAACAAAGGTCACAGAGCTTTCAAGCTCCTACATCTCAAAGAAATACCCCTTGGACATGCTTGACTCCCTCTAAAGGCAGAGATACTTTTCACTTCTGGATGAAGGAGGACCATAAACAAGCAAAATACACAGTGGGAACAACTGATTACTATTTTAAAAATAGTCCTTGATAAAGATATGAAAGGGATTTATATGAAGTACTTGCTTGAGGTGGCAGTGGCTTACATCCAGGAGGCTCTTTGGAGAGGTCATCTATAACTGGAGAGTGCTTACAAAATCAGGACTTGCATAGCAGAGTTATGAGAATGTGTGCATGGGTTGCTTTGCCTGAGGAAGTGTATGACAGGCCATAGAGATACATTAAATGAAGGGGGAAACATATGGCTCCAAAATGGTGGCATCCAAACACATCAACCTGGTGGAAGCCCAGCTACGTATTAGGCTCTCAGTGTCAAAAAAGAATAAATTAATTTTAGCTTGCAAAAAAATATTGCTTAATCCAGTGGGTTCAAGAGTTCCTGACTGTGTAAGCCCTTATTTATGCAAACCCCCACTTCACTCTGAGAAGTTTTCCCTTTGTTTGCCTTCAATACTACACTCGGTGTTGTATCCTCATTCTGCCTGTTCACTATGCAGTGCCTGAAGTCATAAGATTTCTGCTTGTGACATCACAGTTGTTGTTACATGGGTCATTTAATAAAGCTGACTTATGTAAATTGGCTAAATTCACAAGTGTTCTAA